ACTGACTATTACCGAACTGTCCCCTGTGTGATGACCTCACACAAATATTACCGAACTGTCCCGTGTGATGACCTCACACAAATATTACCGAACTGTCTCCTGTGTGATGACCTCACACAAATCATCTGCATATCCCATCCCAATCTTTGTGAGGTCATCACATGGCCGTTCCAGCAACTGGACTCCACTCGGGTGCGAGCAATGCTTATTCCAGAAGTGTCCTAGTGCCACTGTCACAGCTGTCTGGACATTGTTAAATGGTAACCTATTAACAACTGTTAAGAAAGGTTTAGAGGTAACAACTAATCAAGCCCAGGAGTGTACAGTTGTCCTGTTAACTTTCTTGGCAAAAGTGCAGCTGCTGCTGCTGCACGGGCCTGGAATCCAGGAGTGAGTTCAGGAGAGGTAGCTGAGGTAAGGGCTCAGACCTGGTGATTAAAAGTACACCTGGGATGACAGTGGACACCAGAGGACCAGTTGAGAATACTGCTCTCTACACTGCAGCACAACTGTAAGGGCAAACCATATCAGGGACTTCAAACCCAAATTCCTGGTAGGGTGTGGCATCTTCTTGAGTTTCGTTGCACCAAACTGTTAGTTTAATTTTTTAACTGTACATAACATGTCTAAACGTGCACTGTGGCGTTTTATGGGTAACCACACTTTTACTGAAACAGAGAAGCCCTATAGGATAATAATATCCTTACACTTAATTATCTATGGAGCAGAATGGAGTAGTGGTCTACTTTTGAGCAACATATTGCAATTGAAATGCTCCAGTAAGTCCCTTGCTGTAGAAATGGGGGGGCAGGTCACTCTCCTGCTCTTAAAAATGACCTCCGAATTGACTTCCTTGGTAAAAGAAGGCAATAAAAGAATTTATTTTAAGAACATGTTATTTTCACACTGCAAGGAGTGTACTTTCTGCAATATTTTTGTAACCTGTATTTTTATACGCCTTCCACCTAGGACATCCTATGGTGTCTGCAAAATAACAAATTAACACAATTACAGAAATAATTCTACGGAGAGTAAAAAAAGATCAGAAAAGGTTTGTTTTTGGTATTTTTTATTTTTACTCGGAATATGAAAAGTCCAGAGTCACTGCATCACCTGCAGTGTTGCATATTTCCTCAATCTGGTGTTTTTATTAAGGCCAATAGTGTTGTATCACCGTTTAAAATAAATTATAACAACCATCAGTCATCCTCCACTATATATACACACACAAGCATATGTATAGACATACATATGAATATGGATGTACATACAGTCCATTTTTACATATACTACTGTAATATTTTATTCCACAGGGTTCAGCAGTTTTGTTTTTGCACAGTTGTGCAAAAAATGATCTAATTGGAGAAATCAGATTTTAATTCTACAGAAGGATCATATTTTAAAAATAATGCAATTTTAAAATTCTATAGATTTTAAAATATAAAATGCACACAACTCATTTCCAGAG